CGTTTGGAATAAAATTTTTGCGAATAAAAGACATAAACTCATTAAAATACGGCACCTAAACATGACGCACCACTACGGCCCATAAACACTTGTTTACAGCAATATGTACATTAAAACGAGTTGTAAAAAAATAAATATATTCCCGAGTTGTATCACAGAGAATATCCTTTCTACATCGAACTACTAAGTGAATTGGAACGGAGAAATCCGCGTTTTCTGCGTCAGCCACGGGCTCACTACACAATGTACGCGGGCCAAGCCACAACGCTCTGACCGTTACAGTACCGTTATATGGGAAATGAGCATGTACACAGGTGGCACCTAGTGTTAATTCCATTGAATAAAGTGAAAATGAAAATCTCGGGTAAACTTTTTCCTAAAACCTGAGGTATCCTTAACGGTTAGAGCCTGCTATCAATGCGCGACAACTCGCAAGGTTCCGGCAGGTTCGCTTGAGCGCGCAACGTTGTTGGCGCGCAGCGGCAGTCTGCGCGACCTCCCGCCGCGGCCGCGGGATTAACGTTGACGTAATGTTGACACGCGCATCGGTCAATGCGGTGTGCGGGGCGTGAAGCGGCTCACGCGTAACCGCCTCCACGGATGCCAGATAACCCGTGCATATGAACTTACCACAGCGTGGCTTCCACAACGCTTTACCAGTCGGATGTAGTGGAGCTATAAAGATGGGATATAAGTCTATGGTTTGTATTACCATGCGTATCTGTGGTACGTGGTTTTAATTAGCAGGTGTATTGGCTTACCATGGTATTGTGGTACTTGGTTATTAAGCATGTGGTTGTATACTGTGGTATCTGTAGGTACTTGGGTAATTAAGGATGTGGTAGGAGTTACCCATGGTATCGTTCGTGAGTTCTTGGGTAATTAGCATGTGGTTGTATTACTGTGGTATCTGTGGGTACTTGGGGTATTAAGATGTGTAGTAGGGGTTCCATGGTATCGTGTGGCGTTCTTGGTTAATTAAGCATGTGGTAGGCTTACCATGGTATCTGTGGGTACTGGTTAATAGCATGTGGTAGGCTTACCATGAGTAATCGCTGTGGTTCTTGGTTAATCAAGTGTGTAGTTGACTGATCAGTGGAAACTGCTGACGATGTTTTTTCGCTGCAGGCTAAGAAATTTGACGTTCCTGTGTTTGGGAAGCTGACGGAGAACGATGTCAAGACGAAGCTGGTCTGTAACGCACCAGCCAACAAGCAGGAGTGAGTATATGTGCCTCCTAAAGTATATATGTCTCCTAAAGTATATGTAAAGTAGTCCATGATGGCCCCCAACCTTAACATCCCTAACAGCAGGAGTGAGTATATGTCCTAAAGTATATGCCTTCCTCCCTGTAGTTCGTGATGGACCCCCTCCCAATCTTAGCACTCCAAACGTGAGAGTGAATGCTGAGGGGCTGTTTTCATGAGCGTATATATATATACACACACACACACACACATATATATATATATATATATATATATACACGTATTGCAGGGCTTTGTGCAAGTTCATCGTGTCTCTGTTCCAAGTCTACACAGACCTGTTCTTCACTTACTTGGAGATTAATCCACTCGGTGAGTCTTGTCTAATCGGATCACATCTTGCAGCCAGCTAATCCTTGTAATGAATAGAAGCTGCGGTGAAATTACTGCTGCTGCTCACTCTACATAAGTGTTAACATTGCCGTGGTTTGTCTGCTGGGTTGGATAGAATTAAATTGTTAAATCACACGACGTGATTGGAATGTGCTCAATTTTTGTGGCATTCAAAGCCTACATGTTAGACAGAGTATGTTATGTAATACTACTTAATTATAATTATACATAATTATACTTAATAATACTTAATTGTATCACTTGTTAAATACATGAGAAAACAGTATAAAAAATAATTAAAGACAGTCTTCATTGTACATTAACCAATAATTGCATCAAATCTTTAACGAATCTAACGAATGGTAATCTAAATTGATACGATGTGAAACAAGCTCGCGCATAAAATAGGTCAGCAGCAATAATTTTGGCGGACCCTATTTTAGTCTCGGTGGGGTGTATTTTTCATCGTGTTTTTTCCTCGTGTTTGTGTGCAGTCGTGACGAAGGCGGGAATCTTCGTGCTGGATCTGGCGGCGAAGATTGACGCAACGGCGGAGTTTCTGTGCAAGGCGAAGTGGGGCGACATCGAATTCCCTCCTCCCTTTGGCCGTGAAGCCATGCCTGAGGTGAGCTCCTCCGCTTCCTCATCCTCCGCAGCATCCTCCGCTTCCTCATCCTTCGCAGCATCTTCCGCTTCCTCATCCTTCGCAGCATCTTCCGCTTCCTCATCCTCCGCAGCATCCTCCGCTTCCTCATCCTCCGCAGCATCCTCAGCTTCCTCATCCTTCGCAGCATCCTCCGCTTCCTCATCCTCCGCAGCATCCTCTGCTTCCTCATCCTCTGCAGCATCCTCCGCTTCCTCATCCTCCGCAGCATCCTCCGCTTCCTCATCCTCCGCAGCATCCTCCGCTTCCTCATCCTCCGCAGCATCCTCCGCTTCCTCATCCTTTTTTAGGGAATTTTTCTCAGTCCAGGGGCCCATTGTCAGAAACAAAATTATGTCTTAGCACTAGCTTTATTATTGAATTTTTCTCGCAGGCCGCTGACAGAAATATGGTAAAGTAGCCAGTTTCTTATATGCGTGCATAGAGGTCTGGTCTACGGACAAATTCAACGCTTAAGTTTAATGTTAAGACTAATGTTAAGACTAATTTGTTTCTGTCGACGCTCCCTGGCTACTATTGGTTACTAAGCCCTACACGGCACATGTCGTAGTTACTATCAACGCTCCCTGGCTACTATCGTTGCTAACGGCGACGTGTCTCGTGGTCTCATCAGGAAGCCTACATCGCTGGAGCTGGATGCGAAGAGCGGCGCGTCCCTCAAGCTGACCATCCTCAACAGGAAGGGCCGCATCTGGACGATGGTCGCCGGCGGCGGCGCCTCCGTCATCTACACGTGAGCAGCGGCGCCCCCTACCGTCGTCGTCGGCGCGCGTCTGTGACGCGGAAGTCACGCCGAGCACTGCGAGGCCGTCAGACTTGCGCTAGCAGGCACCTCTATAGAAGGGTCACCTCACTTATAACGGCTACCTGTCTATAATGACACAAGGATTTAATGGTCCCATGTCTATAATAAGAGAGACGGGTGGGGATAAAAGGACATTTTAACTGCCACCTGTCTATAACAGCCATGTGTGCCAGCGTACATCTCTATAGAATGGTCACCTGCCTATAACTGCAACCTAGCTGTCTGTAAGGGCCACCTGTCAACAATGGTCAGATTTCTATAATAAGATAGATGGGTTGAGGGTAAACATAATTTTTTTGGGTGTTTGGGGGTGAGTGGCAGTTGTATGATAAACCGACCTCTACGGAATGAACACCTGCGTATAAAGGCCGCATTTGTCAGTGACCTTGAGTGACCCTTATATCCGTATTTGACTGTGTTTTAGAAGAAAAAAAAGCTTGTCGTTTACCTGACTGCAACACTGCTCATTGTTACCTGACCGACGTGTCGCTTGTTTCAGCGACACCATCTGCGACCTAGGGGGCACCGAGGAGCTGGCTAACTACGGCGAGTATTCGGGAGCTCCGAGCGAGCAGCAGACGTATGAATACGCAAAGACCATCCTTAACCTGATGACATCCGAGGAGAAACATCCGAAAGGTACTGTTAGTACTACTATAGATTGCCCCCCTAAATCTACTGTCTGTGTCCATTTACGGTGACTCTAAATCTACTGTTTGTATCAATCTAGACTGACCCTAAATCTACTATTTGTACCCCTATGTAATTATTCTGAATTATTGTCTGTGTTCCTATAGAGTTATCCTAAATCTAACTGTCTGTGTTCCTGTATAATTATGCAAAATATACTGTGTGCCTTTATGTAATTATGCAAAATCTACTGTCTGTGTCGTCAAAGAATTATCCAATATCTCGTGTCTCTATCCCCATAGGGAGTAACCCAAATTTACTTTCAGTGTGTATATAAATAAACCTCTATGTATATAAATAAACTTCTTGACTGTCATTATGTAATTAGTGTTTCACTAACTCTCGACGTCGTCCTGATTGCTGTCTATCAGGCAAGGTCTGTATCCAATGTCTGTGTCCATCTCTATCCTTATATTGACCCTAGATTTACTTGCGTACTTTACGAACTGCCGTCCTCTGACCGCGACATCGTTGCCATTGTTGTCCTCCATCAGGCAAGGTGCTGCTGATCGGCGGTGGCATTGCTAACTTCACCAACGTCGCCGCGACCTTCAAGGGCATCGTAAGGGCGCTGCTGCAGTTCACCGCGCTCCTGCGCGAACACAACGTGTCCGTGTTTGTACGCCGCGCTGGACCCAACTACCAGGAGGGTCTGCGCGTCATGCGTGACGTCGGTACGTATGTGCGCGTCTGCGCTGAAGCCGTGCTCGATCCTCCTCGGTAAATGTTCCAGGAGAAGGGATCGTGTGGGGGTGTTGAGGAGAGAACACAGTGTCAGGTGACGTTTCGCGACGAGATTGCCGGTCGGTTAAAAAAAATGCTGTAAGAATGTGTACATTTGCCGCGGGCGTGGTCTAAGCGTGGCGTGGGCCCAAATAATTGAGTTCAAAAATAAAAAAACGACGGGAATCTTTCTCCTCTCGCCGGCATTATACTGACGCGTATTATTATATACTCACGAGGGAGGAATTGAAAGTTTCCGTCGCAGAGAAACATTTTAGAGGTGGTTGCGCGATCGTTGTGGTTGATCATCCGAGTTGTAGGGGCATGCGGGTATTCAGAGAAGAGAAATCTTCTCGGTACAACGTCCACCCTCCGCGCCGCTCGAGTCTCGAGGACGACTGCGCGTATAGATGGCGCCACCTGTGTGCGAGTCTCGGTGACGACCGCGTACAGATGGTGCCACTACCGTTGTTTCCTGTGCAGGTAGCAGGCTCGGTGTTCCGGTTCACGTGTTCGGCCCGGAGACGCACATGACGGCGATCGTCGGGATGGCCCTTGGCAAGCGTGAGATCCCGGAAGAGCCAGAGAAGATGGAGACGACGGCTAACTTCCTGTTGGACGCTTCCGGAAAGGTGAGCGGTGACGCGGCGCCTCCTCCGGCATTTTCTGCTGCCCGAATTCCTGTCGCTTTTAAATTATTTTGGCTCTGAAGGTTTTTGCAAACATTGCCTTTCATGGTACATTTATCGAGTTGCCGCTTTTTAAAAAAAACGTCTTGATCTTTCAGTCGTTTTCGTTTTTCAGGTAATAACTTTATTTTTCAGCTTGTTGCTTCGTTGAAGGACTTAAGTTTTTAATTCCTGTAATCTTTATTTAACCTGCGTGTATGTTTACTAGGTGGAATTCATACGAGGGCACGGTTTTATTGATTATTCATCGTACTAATTACATTTAATGTGTGTGTCACCAGGTGTCTTAATAAAATTTGATGTGCAGTATAGGAGATTGACACTTGGAAGTGTTTTTTAGGGAATGCAACAGCCGAGCGGTGCTGCACTGCAGGTAATGTAGTCCCGTCACGCAATACTGCATCCTCCGTTGTTCTGTGCTTTCGGATGTACCTTCTCTGCATGGTAACTCTGTCGTGAATATACCGTGCTAAAACTCGAAAAACTACGCTACTACTAATTGAGCCTCATCTGGCTTAATTGCTTGCAAGCAGCAGAAATCTGGTGTAGGCTTTGGGGATTCCACGATTTGTCAGGTATCTCAATCGTCATTCGTCGCTCCTCGAACGAGTGCATGATACTCCGTTTTACTCAGCTCTGCTTGCAGTTCATGTCAGCTCTATGCATCCACACGGGTCTCGCTCATTGTACAGATTTGGTTACAGTTAATTGTCTCCTAGTTGCCTCATGAACATGTATATTGATATATGTGAACATGCATATGTGTGTGTACTTGCGTGCGTGCGTGCGTGTGTGCGTGTGTGCGTGCGTGCGTGCGTGGGTTCGTGTGTGTACGTATGTATTTATTATATGCATTATGTATACATCTATATCAATATATATGTGGGTTCATGGCGGCATATTATATTTAGCCAGAAGGCGTGCATGATATAAGGAATGCACTGTGCAGCATTCAATGTGAGACAAACGTATTCGCATGTGAGCATTGCATGTTTCTTTTTGTGACTTGTAGGTCTGGCATCAGTAACATGTAAAGACAGCATGGATGCATGTACTTTATACATGCTCTCATTATTCTCCTGTGTTATTCTCGTGGTTCCTTGTGTATAGTAAACAGTATGGAGTCAAAGTACAATAAACTGGAATGTCTGGCATCAGTTTTTGTGATATTCCTTTCTCACTGGCCCCACTAAAGCAAATATTAATAAGTTTCTATGTAATGGTGTCAAAGTGAGGATAGATCAAAGTGAGATGTTCATTATCGTAACAACTGTCTGCCCCTCCCCCCTTACACATAATTTCAAGACTTCGGTTTATTGCACTTTTATCGAAATATAAAAAAGTATTATTTGTATGCATGTATTTTTAATTATAAAATTGATAGATGCGTGCAATGCATACAAATTCCAAGTGAGTCCGTACAAATTAGGTTAGCAGTTAAATTATCCAAGGCTGTCAGTTGTAGTCCATTTAGTGAATGATGTGATGCAGTATAGTTCTTAATTATTAATTATTAATTATTATATAATTTTTTGACAATTACAGCAAGTAAGCATGTAGTTAATTACTGAGGAAATGTAATTAATAAAATAGTTTATATAATTTATGTAATCATTATAGTATTACAGCATGTCCATGATGCAGTGAAGATTTATTATTTACGAATGTCGCAGTGCACTTAGCGATATCGGTTTTGTAATTCTGTTGCCAACGAAATTTCGTGAATATGATAATCGTCAAACATTTTAAACGTTCACTTGTCTTTAAGGCTTCATCGTCAGTATGTAGAACTGCTCTCTTGTTAGTCCTGTGATGGTCGAACGGCGAGTCTTTACATGTAACAGTAACTGTTAAATTCCTTCATGTAATATGTGCTTGCATGTAAACAGCATGCTCTCTTGTTTTAGGAGCCCACTACTACCAGCAAAGCCGCAGACGCTTCCAGCCACGACGCTGCGCCCTCATTACCGCCGTCTGCTGGCATTCCTGCCCCTGGTGGAGCTGGCGAGGGGAGCAGAGCTCTCTTTACCAACAAGACAAAGGTCTGTTTTCTCTGACTGAATTGATCCGCGAAGAATTCTAGCTATCAAATTCTTAAATGGCTTATTAATCTATTTCACGAATTCCCAGTGACTATTTACGATTTAGCCGAGCGAATATCACGCAGTAAAAATTTCGTTGCGGCACATGCATATGCACACTAAACTAAACAAAATGAAACTAAAACCCAACAAGTTCGCGTCGCACGAGTTCGAACGTCCGGCGACAGCACGAGGTTTACATCTCGCGAACTCACACGCGTCTGCCGGGGGTCGTTGCTAACGGCAACAATGGCCGCTCTTGTTTCTTCCGTGCTCGTTCTTTCTTGCGGACACTCACGCGTCTGCCAGTGGTCGTTGCTAATGGTGCCGCTCTTGTTTCTTCAGTCGCTGATCTGGGGCATGCAGCCTCGCGCGGTGCAAGGCATGCTGGACTTTGACTACTGCTGCCGACGCTCCGAGCCGTCCGTGTCGGCGATGGTTTACCCGTTCAGCGGCGACCACAAGCAGAAGTTCTACTGGGGTCACAAGGAGATCCTGATCCCGCGTACGTGTTTCGCCGCGGGTCGCTTTCACACTACTTTACTTAGATACCTGCCTGCTTGCCTGCTTGCTCGCGTGCCTTCCTGCCAGCCTGCGTGCCTGCGTGCCTGCCTGCCAGCCTGCCTACCTGCGTGCCTGCCTGCCTGCCTGCCTGCCTGCCTGCGTGCCTGCCTGCCTGCGTGCCAGCATGCGTGCATGCGTGCCTGCCAGCCTGCGTACATGCGTGCCTGCGTGCCTGCCTGCCTGCCAGCCTGCGTGCCTGCCAGCCTGCATTCATGCCTGTCTGCCTGCATTCATGCCTGCCTACCTACCTACCTACTTTACTTACTAAGTACATAGGTACTTTATTATTCGAATACAGTGATTAAGTGCACTGATCAATGAAGTATTAGTGTTCACTGCATGGCATATCAAGTAGGATCCATTTCAGTGCTAATATACATAATAATATAATGTAATTTTGATACATAATGTAATCTAGAGTATCTAAATCTAATATACATGATAATGTATGTAGTTTTGATACATAATCGCCTTCGGTGTATTTCAGGGGAAAAATGTACTTTTTTTTTCCACGGGAGCTCTTTTTCAAACGTCTGTGGGAAAAATAGCTCTCGTCAAAATTTTTTACGGTAGCTATTTTGAGCCTCACGGGAGCGATTTCGTAGGTTTGAAGAGCGAATCGCTCATCGCTCCCGTGTGTTTTTTACCCTGGTGTATTTGCGATTGCAGTGTACAAGAATCTGGACGACGGCATCAGGAAGCATCCGGATGCTGACGTTCTCATCAGCTTCGCGTCGCTGCGATCTGCGTACGACAGCACCATGGAGGTGCTCGCATACCCTCAGGTGTGTCCCGTCGCCGCGGCAACCATCGTTATCACGAATGCACTCGTGCTCAATTGCAATAGCTTATTCGTAATACTTTGTGATTACGGTTGAGGAGAAAAGTATTTATTGTAGCTGTGTAAAGTTCAATAGCAATATTTTATTCCTAATGCATGTAATTGTATGTGATGAGAAAATTATATAAAGTCGTTACCGCGGCAACGCGTGACCACGATGTTAAACTCTCGCAAACTCTTTGCCGCCGCATTCAGATACGCACGATCGCCATCATCGCCGAGGGGATTCCCGAAGCTAAAACACGGGAGCTGATTAAGATCGCTAACGAGAAGGGCGTCAGCATCATCGGCCCGGCGACGGTCGGCGGGGTCAAGCCGGGATGCTTCAAGATCGGAAACACGGGAGGAATGCTCGATAACATCCTGTCCTCCAAACTCTACAGACCTGGCAGGTAAGGGCATGGGGCGGGGCAGGGCGGGGCAGGGCGTAGAAGGGGCAGGGGCGGAGCGGGGGCGGGGTGCGGTCACAGTCGCCCGGTGGTGGTAACAGAACGAACACAATTACGCACGATATCAAAACTACTAGTAGCATGGGACCGTCATGTAATGTCACGTAACGTCTGTGTTGCAGCGTGGCGTATGTGTCACGGTCGGGGGGGCCGTGCCACGTAATGTCATGTAACATGACGTAACATCACGTAACGTCTGTGTTGCAGCGTGGCGTACGTATCGCGATCGGGGGGCATGTCATGTACGTAACGTCTGTGTTGCAGCGTGGCGTACGTATCGAGGTCGGGGAGCATGTCATGTACGTAACGTCTGTGTTGCAGCGTGGCGTACGTATTGAGGTCGGGGGCCATGTCATGTACGTAACGTCTGTGTTGCAGCGCGGCGTACGTATCGAGGTCGGGGGGCATGTCATGTACGTAACGTCTGTGTTGCAGCGTGGCGTACGTATCGAGGTCGGGGAGCATGTCATGTACGTAACG